TGATTTGAACAGTGAGGGGTAAGCAAAGAAGCATGAAGCATGAAGCATGAAACTTGTTCGCAAGAATTACCGCAAAAAAATCGTTCTTTCCACTCAACTATCGCTTTATGGATGGTGCTCCCCTATCGATGTTCTATTGCAGTGCTATTTCCCGCACTTTAACCTGTTTTCTGGTTTATACTTTGAGTACTTCTTGGTCCGCTACAACATTTGCCTTTGTTCTTATTTACTTTGAGTTCTCGGCTGCCACCGATAACGTTTTTTTGTTGTTCTTGGTAGCCGTTTTGATCCCTGTGATTTTTATGTTATGATGTGGTACCATCAAGCGCTTTAAAGTGTGGATTGTTTCAAACAGTTCCCTAAAAGTTTGTTTTACTTTCATTTCCAGATGACGAAGGCCCTGAAGAACATCAGAAATGCACTTAAAATGAACATGAATCAATCCTTTTTTCTGCATCTTTTAGCTCTTATACTTTCTTCCCAGAAAAAGGTAAGCTACTCGTTTATGCTCCGCCTTGTGTAGAACTTAAAGCATGAATTCTCATCACTGATCCTTATCGATTTTATGCGTTGTTAATGTTCACCGTTTCCTCTGTATCGGTGTACTGGTGTAGTGAGGAGAATATGATTGATTTGTTTGTTCATAGTTTGTTGAGGCACTAGAGGTCTGTGATGCTGCTCTGATGGAATTCCCTGATGACTTCAGGTGTGTGTTGTATTTCAGTTCTCAGTTGTTGCAGTTGCTAGACTGTCATGGAGACCTGATTAAATACCGAGGGTTTCTCGGTCTGTGATGGACCAGAGTATCATCTTCAGGAAGTAACAGTGTCTCTTATTTGCTTGATGTTATCTACTGTCTGTTTTCAGTTTGCTTCTGACGAAGGTTAAACTGGAACAGGCTTGCTTAGGTGGAGAGCAAGCGCTGATCACGTGCAAACGGTTGTTGGAAACCTGGAAACGAGTGTACGAGTCTGATCTATCGGGGTGAGTGTGAAGAGCAAACTGTGGAAAGTTTCTGCTTTTTGCGCAAACATTTACTTATTTATTGTGGGTAAAAGTTTTCGAATAAGGGGTAAGCAAAGAACCAAAACCTAAGATATGAAAGGATTTTATCCACCTCGAAGTTTGGAGGGACCTTTGTTGATTTGATAAGCAAACATGCACAACCAAATTGAGATTAGTTATTATTTCAGGCTTGGTCATTTGTAACTGGAAATGCAATGGTTTTGAGCCGTTTAAAGAGACTGTTAACCATTCCAGTGCTTTTACAAAGACAATAGTAGTAATTGATAATTGTGAACTGTCAGGGGAACCCTAAAAAATTGCTTAGGTGGGGTTACTGTGCACGAGCTATCGACTACCATCTCGTTTAGTAGGCGGGGGATATATAGTCAATTGAAGCTCGAGGAAACATTACAAGATTAAAAAGGAAGAGGCCACTAGGTGGTTAAGGACTGCCAATCAGTCTCTGTTCGTGGAAGGAATTGTGCACGCTACACGTAAACGAGTAAAATTATTTGGGACCCAGTGCCTTACTCACAAACTGTGTAAAATTTAAAGTGGGCCCAAAGGTCTTAACTGCTTTCAGATCCACAGAGCTTCAAAGGGCTGGATCAGGTTTGCTAGACAAAGTTATCACAGATTCTCGAAGCTTGAAACAGATTCCACTCACAGAACTCACCAGTGAAAAAGACTCCGGTAAGTGTTCCTTCAAACATTAGAATTCCCCGCGTTACTCTGGTTATTGGAGCCTGTTCGGAACTAATTGCCATTGTGTTTCCTGTCAGATGATGGTGCCAGTTCCATCGCGGCTTCAGTGCGCCTGGAACAGGCCTTATCAGACGAGGCTGCCTCGACTTCCGTCCGACTCAGCGTTCCAGCTGTATTAGCCTTACAAGCAAAACTCTGGCTTGCTATTGGTTAGTCCTATTTATGTGTCCAGTCAATAAAACCAGCACAATCCCAGATCAGTTGAGAAAACTGCATCATTAGTTCTTTTGACAATTTGTCAACAGTTTCCACCTAATCTACTCATTTCTATTTAGTCACTCAGGGAAGTGGTTTGTTAATTTATTTCATTTGACCATCTGGAGACATATGATGTGTTTTGTTACAGCTGATGTGTATGTCGCCATGGAAAAGGACACTGAAGCCAGCGCATGCGTTCAGGAGGCGCATTTGATATTCCCTTTT